GGGGGGGGGGGGGAGAAGTGTGTGTTCACTTTGATCCTGTGCTCAGGAAGACGGCGACGGCGCAGGCGAAGAGCGTGGAGATGCCGTAGTTGAAGACGCCCCCAAAGCCCTGGAACATGTAGAAGCTCGACAGCACCAGCACAAAGTAGAACACTGCACACGCATCGGGCATGTTGCGGGAGAAGTGCGTGTGTGTGTGTGTGTGTGTGTGTGTGTGTGTGTGTGTGTGTGTGTGTGTGTGTGTGTGTGTGGTGTGTGTGTGTTTTCAAGCCGCAATCGTGTGACGTGTTGTATGCACCTCTGCGCCCCAACCAACCTGCGCAGTTCGTTGAAGCTGCTGTGTTCACTGTATGGGATCCCTGTTGCCGAGAGGCGGTGGAATACAAAAGCAAAGTCAGAGTCAGCGCCAATGCAGCAAGTCAAAACACTCCCCCAACGCACTTTCACACACACACACACACACACACACACACACACACACACACACACACACACACACACACACACACACACACATGAGCAGCAACGCATCAACGTACCGTAGACGGTGATATTCCGCTTTGTCTTTGGTTTGATGAACGAGAGTGCGGGGAGCTTCTGGGAATGGGTCCACCCCGTTGGCCGAAAGCCAAGCACGTGCTCAAACCGCTTGCGGAAGCCGTATCCCTCACGGTAGTAGCGCGCGAGGTTCTGAGAATCAAAGGGAAGTTTGGGATGGCATGATTAGGTTGATCGGAAGCAACGGCTATCACAGACAGACAGACAGACAGGCACACACACACACACACAGACAGACACAGACATCGACAGACAGACACAGACACAGACAGACAGACACACCCACAGACAGACACAGACACAGACAAGCGCACACACACACACACACACACACACACACACACACCGACACCGACACCGACACCGAAGACAGACAGAGACAGAGACAGAGACACAGACACAGACACACAAAAACAGACAGACATGGACACAGGCACGCGAGCGCACATCAAGGTTGACGGTTGACATGGAAGTGACATGCACTTGGGCCTCGAGTGGGTTATCTGTTAGCACTTCGTTCAGGGCATCGTCCTGCAAACAGCCAAATATCTGGCGGCGCAGGCACGCGCGTGGTGCGTGGACGTACATGAGGTATCGGAGAGCGGTGTGGTCGATGTTCTGTCACAACAACACACACACACACACATATCCACAGACACAGACACACACACACACGCACACACTGACCTGCTGCTTGCGTGTGCTTGCATACACGCGGCATCCAAGAGCACGCGCAATGGACAGGAACACCTTTTCTTTGCCAATTGTGTATGAGCCCACCACAACCAACAGGTGCCTGCCAAACGCATGCGTGCGCGCACGTGCGTGTGTGAGAGTGCATGAGAAAGAAAAGTGTGCGTTGGAGTGTATGTGGGAGTGTGTGCATGTAAGTGAGTGAGTGTCACACATGTGTGAGATGACAACGGCTGCATGCGCGTGGCGAGCACACGCACACGTGCATGACATGCATGGACTTACGGGTGGCGTTTGAGGTACTTGATGGCAAGGTTTGCCACAAAGTTGAGAACCGCATACTGCGATGGAAACGTGTAGCGCGGGTCACAGTACGTCTGAAAATAACACAAGCAACACGTACGACGCGGTTCGATGTGATCAAACGCGTGCCAGTGTTCAAATGGTTGCCACACAGCAACATGCAACATGTGCTCGCGTGCAATGGCACAGGGGTGGGTTGGCAACAACAGCGGGTGTGCGCATCGTACCGTGTCGAGATAGACGGTGTGTATGCGTTTGCCAGCGATGGAGGTGTGTTGCCAGATTGCCTCGCACGCGCGGAAATCGCCCGTATGCACGTGGCGGCGCCCTGCAGCGTTACAGCAACACAAGCACAAACGCCGCCGTCAAGGCAGGCGTGCACATGCTTGTTTGTTTGAGCATGCTGTGTGCTTGTGTGTGTGTGTGTGTGTGTGTGTGTGATTGGTGAACGAAAGCCTAACCTGACGGGAGTGTGAAGACGATCACGGCGGCGCCAGGGCAGTGGTTTGCGTCAATCAATTCCACAGTAACTCCTTGCACCTGGTATTTAGTAAAGAAGGGCAGCCATGTGATCTGATGCAACGCACACACACATACACACACAGACACACATACACCGACACACACACACACACAGACACAGAGACACACACAGACACAGAGACACACACGCGCACGCACGCACGCACGCACGCACACACACACACAAGCACGCGATAGCAGCCACACACACACACACACACACACACACACACACACACACACACACACACACACACACACACACACACACACGCACACGCACACACACAGGTGCACACAGAGCGCACCTTGACTGGAGTGTTCATTGGAAGCGGGTTGAGTTTCTCTGGCGGAACGCGAAGAAGAAGTGTGCACAGACGCGCCGTCGCCTCGCTGTTGGTGGTCGGGCGAAAGAGAGCGAGAGAGAGAGAGAGGGGGGGGGGTGCATGTGCATTCGGAGCATGTTTACGTGAGGTGACACAAGGGAGGCGTGTATGTCATCTGCTGGCGCACATGCACAAAGCATACATACACAAAGTCACAGACACAGACACAGACACAGACACAGACAAGCGCACACAGACACAGACACAGACACAGACACAGACACAGACAGACACACACACACACACACACACACACACACACACACACACACGGATGCACACAGACAGACAGACAGACAGACAGACAGACACACACACACACAGACACACACACGTACCTGCAATAGACTTTTGCGGGAAAAGACTTGGTGAGCCCCGTGTAGTGGTCGGCGTGGAAGTGGGACAGGAAGTACGCTGTGGCCAAACGACATCGCAAGGGAGGATTACAGAGATGAGCTAGTCGACAAAATGGGGGTCGAGGCCGTCAAGTGATGTGGTGAGTAAGGTGTGGCAACAACGAGGGGAAACAAGCATGCAAGGAGGGACTGGCGAGAGTGGATGTGCTCTCAATGACGGTGGGCACCTGTGCAGTTGGGGATTGCTCCGTAGCTGAACGCGTCCACTGTGAATGTAGGGCCATGGTCACAACGTGTGAGCATGACGTGTAAGAGCATGGATGCGACCACATGTACACAGACACACACACAGACACACACACAGACACACCCACCCACACACCAACCTGTGAACGAAGTATCCTTGACCCACTTGTAGAAAGGGCACTGCCGCAGACGACGCGGTAGCCCATGAGTGCTGGCGTCGCTGCCGCTTTCCTTACTCGACCCCCTACGCATAAGTGGCTGCTGTGCCTCCCGCTTTGATGCTCGCATCAGCACATCAAATGCGTTCGCCCTGCCCGCGGTGTTTGTGTGCGGTTTCACCGGAGCTGCACCAGTAGCGCCTGCTGTTGGCGCTGAGGATGACGATGATGCCGACAGCGACGACGCCGACGTCTTGGGATGCTTGCGTCTTGGGCTGTTGGCTCCCCTCTCGTGCCGCTCGTTGTTGACGACTGGGGTGGTGGCGATGGCGCTGGTGCTCGGCTCTGCCTCAGATGTTATCACGGGAGAGGCCATGCGGTGGGTGGAAACGCCATCGGCTGCGCCTTCAGCTGTTGCAGCGTGTATGTGCCACACTTGCTCGAGCGCTGCCACCGTGGCCTCCACATCATTGTCGCTCGCATCGCTGCCGGCGCGCTGACGTTGATGGTGCATGCTGAAGCAGCTACTCATGGTGGAATCACGTACAGGCAAGATGGGCCCTTGACGGTCCCAATGCCTGAGTTGTTGCTGTTGCTGTGTGTACTGTTGCTGTTGCTGTGTGTACTGTTGCTGTTGCTGTATGTACTGTAGCTGTTGCGCCTCATCGGTGTCATCATCGTCATCGGTGTCAATGTCATCGTCATCGTCAATGACGATGACATTTGATGCATCGGTGGTATCCGTAGACTCTTCTCCTTCGCATGAACGGCTCAAAGTCTGAACGGCATCGCCACTACCACCATGACTCTCGTCGTTCTCCCCTCCTTCCTCTTCCTCCTGTAGCGATGGGTCACTGTGCTCCCGATCCACAGCAGTGTCCTTCGCCTGCATGTGATTGGGTGCACGCGTGCACTGCGTCAGCACCAACATGAAGTCGTCATCGCTGTCGCGGTCATCGTGTGCAAGCTGCCGCCGCTGCTGTTGCTGCTGCATGTCCTGCATGCATGCGTCTATCCCCCCCAGTTCTCCGCCAACATCGTTGTCGACGTCGCTGTCGTCACCATCATCGTCATCAAACAAGACAGGACTCCCGCATTCCCCACCAATCAAGCTTTCCATCACCGTTGTTGTCGTGGATGTTTGCAAAGTGTGCGTTGTTGTTGTTCACTTGTTCAGTTGTTGTTGTGATTGTGTGTGTGTGTGCGTGCGTGCGTGCGTGCGTGTGGATGTGTGTGTGTGTGTGTGTTTGCGTGATGACATGGGATTCTCTAGAGTCGTGCAGTTGTCGTTTTGCTTCTAAGAGAGTAACGGGGTTGGTGTGTCGTGACATGACAAGACCAGGGCGTGTAACCAGAACAGAGAACGGGGGGTGCTCACGCACAAAGTTTGGCAGACTCGTGTGGTTCATGTTGTGTTGGGGCTGGTCATGCGGCTGGTCGCATCCATCATGGCTGGTTGGTGAACACAATGTCCACCCGTGGCACGGCCTCGAACGGGCGCGTGTCTTCCACGTCAACCGTGAGCACGCCGAGCGGGTAGCGCGTGGTGCATTCTGGCAGCGTGACCGTCAGCGTGTGCTCCCCAGGCGGCAGACCGCCCAGCGGCACGTATGCTTTCGTCGTCGTCGCAGGAAACATGCCCACCAGTGCACCATCGAGCGTGACTTTTGCCACGCAGCCAGATGCGTCCACACCAACCCCGCTCACCTGCGCCCACTCCACAGGCAGGGTGCCTCCAAGGGTGCTGTTGACGACTGTGTGGTTCAGCGGCCGCGCCACCGCCAGCACCGTGCTCGTCGTGTCTGCGTGCGTGTACAGGGCGATGAGGGCGCGGAGGAGGTTGAGGTAGCGAAATCCCCACCCGCCGCACCGCCGATTGTTTGGGCGGCGGTACGCGCACTCCGTGTAGCTGGTCGGCTCCATGTCGTTGCCCAGCGTCGCGTTGTAGATGTCCACATACACAGACGTCGTGTTCTCCGCCTGCCCAGCAAACTCGTTCCACTGGTTGAACACGACCGTGCGGGGAGCGTCACCACGGCCACTGCGGTCGCGGCTGAGCAGCGAGGCAACCTCCTGCACGAGCGTGGCGCCCTGGCGCTTGCCCATGGCCTTGACGTCGAACCACCCGCCCGGTGGGAAGAAGGCGCACGTGGCGGTGGCGACCTCGCTGGCCGTCCTGAAGGGTTGGCGCACCACAACGGGGGACACCACGCCGTCCCTGTGGGCGAGAGGGTAGGAGGGAGTGTTTGCGTGTATGTGTGTGTGTGTATGCGCGCGCGCGCGTGTGTGTGCGTGTGTGTGTGTATGAGCGAGTACGTAGGTTGAAGAGATTGTACATCTCGCACACCACCACCATCCATCATCGCAAACCACTTACATCCAGCTCCAGTAGCCGCGGGTGGCAAGGCCGGGTGCAGTCTGCAGTTGCGAGGCCATCAGGCGAAGCGTCCAGTTGCCCACGGAGAGCGGGTTTGTTGGCGAGTACATGCCACCCCCATCTGAACACGCATGCACACATGTAAGTGAACATGTGAGTGTGTGAGTGTGAGTGTGAGGGTGTGTATGTGTGTATGTGAGTGTGTGTGAGCGTGTGTGGATGTGAGTGTGTGTGTGTCTCTCTCTCTGCGTTCACATAACAACGATGCGAGCCAACACCAAGCTACCAAACATCAACGCCACGGTACACGGCACATGGGTGCGCGCACCAAAGACAATGAGCAGCGGCTTGCCCTCATATATGAACATGAGATCTCGGTACTTGGGCAGATATTCTTCCGTGATCCAGTCCACCTCCTCCTGTGCAGCGACAAGCGAGAGGGGGAAAGATGGATTGGGTTTGGGTTTGGGTCGGTTTAGGTCGGGTTTGGTTTGATCACGACATGAGGTGACAGGGCGTACGGTCAAACGGGGGGGGGGGAGTGGGGACTTGCGGACATGTGACAGCTAGTGAATGGAAACATGACATTGACGGGCGTGCACAACGACGAGTACGTTAACACACACACACAGAGACACAGAGAGAACACACACACACACACACACAGATGAGGGGGCAGACCTGTAGGCATGAGAGGGGTTCTGCTGGGCCGTTATCAAGGCCGAGCAAGAGAACAACATCGGGTGTGCTCATGCCGGCTGCGCGCATTGCACTGTACGTCTATGATTGCAACCGTGAGCATGGTATGCGATGTTGCATGCATGTGAGAAAGAGAGGGGACAGCCAAACAAGCGGCAGAAACGGTAGGTGGGAGATAGAATTAACAGGGGAAGCAACACCAGCGTTGGCTACAGAGTGGATGCACACTCACCTCCAGTGTGAATGTCGTGGCATTGATGAGTTCCTGTGCATACACGCCTCGCTCCGACCAGTGCTGCAAAGATACAGCAATGTCAAGCCACCACCGTGATCATGAGAGCAGCGAAAACATGGGGAAACACACACAAACACCACAGGAACACAAGCGTATGCGCACAGATACATGCGCACACAGAGACAGAGACACAGGCACACGCAGATACGCACACACAGAGACAGAGACACACGCACACAGGCCCAGATGCAGATACAAACCCAGACACACACTCACACACACAGACACAGACACAGACAGACGCACACAGACAGACGCAGACACAGGCGAGCTTACGTTGATGTTCCAGAGGTTGTTGGTCCAGTCCACCATGATGTAGTCGATGCCAATGTCCACCATCCACATGGCGTGTTGCATGACAACGTTTGCGTCGAAACTGCTGTAGTATCCAAGCGTGGGTACAGCCTCCGCGAGTGTCCACTGGTCGTTGTGCAGCGTGAACCACGGCTCCCACTGCATGGCCGTGATGCGGTCGCTGCCCTTGGCTGGCGGGCGAAGGGTGCGCTCCTTCACGTCAACAGCGACAGTATTTGACTCCGTGAGTATCAAGTGCGCCGGGATCACCTTGCCGACAGGAAAAGGTTCCTTGTATGCGCCGGCAATGGTGGCCGTCACCCCAACCGCATTTGGGCCTGTGCGAGGATAGGGGCACCGGAACGATATGTTCTTGGGCGAGTCAGGCGACAAGGTCATCTGTGCACACCACTGCAGGCTGTTCACCGTTGGCCACAGGGTCACTGACTCGTGTCCCATACCAGTCACCTGGGGGAAAAACAGTGCGCGAGTGAGTGAGTGTATGCGTGAGTGTATGCGTGAGTGTATGCGTGAGTGTGTGTGCGTGTGTGTATGTGTTGGTGTGTGTGTGTGTGTGTGTGTGTGTGTGAGAGAGTGTGTGTGTATGTGTTGGTGTGTGTGAGTGTGTGTGTGTGTAAGTGTGTGTGTGAGTGCGCCAGCCAGGTGCGATTGCCACCCCTCCACACCAACCTGAGCGGTGCATTCAAACGTGAAGCCTAGTTGGACAGGGGACGTGCATGTCAAGTTGATGTGTAGGGATGGTGCCCCATCAGAACCAGCATGTGGGTCCACAGCCGCACCATCACCCACCACCACCACCGCCGCTGTCACCACCACCAACGCCAGCACAAGCATAACCAATGTCCCCGTTGTGTGTGATCTTCATCCACTGGCTGGGCGAAAGTTTTATGAAGACGTTCACAAAATCTCCGGAAACGAGGCAAGGCAAATGCGTTCTGTGTGTGTGTGTGTGTGTGTGTGTGTGTGTGTGTGTGTGTGTGTGTGTGTGTGTGTGTGTGTGTGTGTGTGTGTGTGTGTGTGTGTGTGTGTGTGTGTGTGTGTGTGTGTGTGTGTGTACGTGTGTGTGTGTGGCGTCGTCGCCAATGGCTCAGGATGCGGCCGGGATGACATCGCGCCCTTCTGCGCCGTAACGGTACTTTGTCATTTTGTCGGCCGGCTTGAGAATCTGGTCAAGACACAAAGCGTATGTGTGTGTGTGTGTGTTTGCGAGTGTGTGTGTGTGCGAGTGTGTGTGTGTGTGTGTGTGCGAGTGTGTGCGTATGAATGTGTATGTGTGTGTGTGCGAGAGAGAGAGTGTGTGTGCGAGTGTGCGTATGAATGTGTATGTGTGTGTGTGTGCGAGTGTGCGTATGAATGTGTATGTGTGTGTGTGTGTATGTGTGTGTGTGTGTGCGAGCGTGTATGTGTGTGTGTGTGTGTGCGAGCGTGTATGTGTGTGTGTGTGTGCATGTGGTGAGCAGCGGCTGGCTATGGGCTTGATCAAAGGTTGTCACAGACACAGACACAGACACACACCTACAAACACACACCTACACCCACACCCACACACCCACACACCCACACACACACCCACACCCACACACCCACACACCCACACACACAGACCCCCCGACACACACACACACACACAGACACACACATTCATGCATATTCACTCCTCCCCGTCCCTTCTGCGACCCTCTCCTCCCAAAAGGGTGCTCACGTGGAAGCGGCACATGAGGTCCTTGTCAACTTGCATCATCGCCCCGGCATTGTCGAACTCGCCTGCGCACAAGGGAGGGGAGGAAGCGGGGGTTAGATTGGAGAACAAGCGAGGTCTACGGCACAGTCATACAAAGACCATCAAGTTACCCGCACGCACGCACGCACGCACGCACGCACGCATACACGCATTGAAATACTCACCGCAGTAGTTTGGAGCGCTGAAGACTGTGACAAGCTGGCGGTTTGCAAAGAACTCGTAACCGTCCTCCACAACCTGTCGAGGGTGGTCGTGGCGTGTGGGTGAGCTTGCAGCTTTGCACGCGTCACAACGGCTGGGAAGAGGGGCGAAAAAATACATAACAACGAACAAGGGCACAGCATCGAAACACACAAACACACACAAACACACACGGACACACACACAGACACACACACACACACACACACAACACACACAGACACACACACAGACACACACACACACACACACACACACACACACACACAACAACCACCACCACCACCACCATGCCGCACCTGGTGTGCGCGGCAGATGAGATCGAGGTCGTGCTGGTGGAGGAAGCGCTCGACAATCGGCGCACCAAACGTGAACGAGACGCCGCGGTCGTTCTCGCCCCAGTGCTCCACCTCCTTCTCCGGATCGCTCCACATGAGGTCGCACAGCAGGCCCGTGTCGGGGACGTCTGTTGGGCGCTGGATGCTGGTGATCTGGTCCATGGTCTGCAGGTCGGGGGAGAGGCCGCCGTGGCAGCAGAAGATCTTCTCGCCCACGATGGCGGCGACAGGCAGGCAGTTGAAGCAGTCCGTAAACGTCTTCCACAACTTGATGCTGTACCGCCGCTTGCCTGTGGTGGTGGGGGTAGCACGCGATGAGCACGTGTGTGTGTGGGGAAGGGAAAGGCAGGAAAGGGAAGGCTCACCAACAGACGCAGACGCAGACAGAGAAGCAAACGCAGACACAGACGCAGACACAGACACGGATACACATGCACACGCACACACACACACACACACACACACACACACACAGACACACACAGGCAGACAGACAGACACACACACATGCCGGCTAACAAACGGACATTCGTCGTAGAAGCCGTAGATGCGGTTGATGGATGCGCACTCGTGGTTCCCGCGGAGGAGGAAGATGCGGTCCGGGTACATGATCTTGTACGCCAGCAGCAGGCACACTGTCTCCAGCGACTGGCAGCAGCAGCAGCGTAAGTGCACAGAGGAGGACGTGAGGTGATGGAAGGAGGCAGAGACGAACGGACACGTGCAAACAGCCAGATGCATGGTTGTGGTGCCAACCAAGCGGCGGGCAAAGCAAGCACATTGACAAACAGCGGACAGCTAGCAACAAGCTGGGCTCCACACAACGCGTGCACACACGAACACACACACACACATACACGAACACACACACACACATACACGAACACACACACATACACATACACTTACACGAACACACACACACACACGTACACACATACACGAACACACAGGCACGCACTTGTTTGCCGCGGTCGACGTAGTCGCCGAGGAAGAGGTAGGGCTGGGCAGGCGGGAAGCCGCCAAACTCAAACAGGCGCAGCAGGTCATAGTACTGGCCGTGCACATCACCTGATACAGCGCCGAAGCGCCGAAGCGACAAAACCAAACGACCACAACAATGAGACCACCCATCATCAGTGTCGGGAACACAGCCCAGCCTGGAGTCACACTACACCCCTCCCCCAAACGAATGCAAGCGCGCGATGGCCCGGACCCACAGCCAGCCGTGTGCTCACCGCATATTTGGACGGGCGCGTCGACCTTGAGGAGAATGGGCTCGTTCATAAACGCCTCCCGTGCACCAATGCACAGGGCACGAATCTCAGCCTCGTCCAAGGTGACTGTCTTTCCGGGACGGCATCCCCTCACTGTTTGTCGGTGTTGTTGTTTGTCGTGAGTGTCGTTGTTGTCGCGAGTGTCGTCGTTTCAACGGCAAAACGCGGCGCAAAAACGTGAGCACGCCAACAACAAGCACAACAACAACAGCAGGGATAACAACAACTTAAACAACAACTTAAACAACAACAACAACAACTTCAACAACAACTTAAACAACAACAACAACAACTTAAACAACTTCAACAACAACAACAACAACAACAACAACTTAAACAACAACAACAACAACAACAGTAACGCAGCCAGATACAAAGCAAACAGCACGTAGAGCACTGCGCACCTTCGAGGAGCCTGTTCACAATGTCCTGCACATCGACGTCCAGATCAGCCATGATGCCAAGCGCCAACAGCAACAAAGCAACACACAAAGATGTAACAGCCGCGCTCCGCGATTGACGAATCAAAAGTGCGCACAGGGGGGACGCTGAAGCAGCGAGTGTTGCTCCTTCTACTCTGCAGACAAGACACGAAGGCTGACTGAGATGGGTGTTTGGCAGTCGTGTGTTTGGTTGTGTTTGGGAGGGCGGCGACGACAACACAGCAGCAGCGCCAACCAAGGAAAAATAAAAAAATCTGCACTGCGGTTGTAGAGAATTAATTGAAGATACACATATTATTCCGCAGATCACGGAACAGGAGGAATCCGCGACCACACGAGACTGAGAGGAAGCATCATGGGGGACGCTGACGAGCGGTACAATGCGTGGTTTCCACGCACACCACCGCGGGAGTGTGGGCTGAGGGTGGTGTGTTTCCACGGAGCAGGGTGCTCGGACACTGTCTACACGATCAGCAGGGTTGCTGGTAAAATGGCGCATAACCCGCTCCTCGCGTGGCAACAGGACGAAGGTTTGTTCGTTGTTCAGTGTGAATGTGAATGTATGTATGTGTGTGTGAATGTGTGTGTGTGTGTGACTGTGTGAGAGAGAGAGAGAGAGAGAGTGTGTGTGTGTGTGACTGTGTGTGTGTGTGTGATTGCGATTGCCGCTTGACCCCAGCTGAGGAGATGCGCGTGCGTGTGCATGTGTGCGCACGCAAGAGCAAGTGTCACAGTCCGCCTTCACGCTCATCAATCCTTGTGCGTTGTTCTGTTGTCTTCTTCTGCTGGCTTGGGTAGAGAACGATGTGCAGGTGCTTGGGGTGCAGTTGCCCGGACGTGATCAGCGGCACAGCGTCCCGCCGTTCACCAGCATCAACGACATTGTCGATGCCTTTGTTGCAGACTGTGGCCATTTGTTCAACACCCCATACGTATGATCAACTTGATGCGTGACGTGTGATGTGACGCGGTTTAGGACGTGGTCCGTGGACTGGCCATCACTGGCGTGTTGTGGTGGTGTTCCGTATGGTGTCACTTGGATGTTGCGCTGTAGCGATGCACACATGCACCAAAGTTTGCACTCAAAAAATACACACTCACATGCACGCGCACACGCACGCAAACACACTCATACAAACGCACACACGCACGCAAACACACGTATACAAACGCACACACGCACGCAAACACACCCATACAAACGCACACATGCACGCAAACACGCACACAAACGCATGCGCAAACACGCACACGCGATCAGGTCCTGGTTGGCCATTCCGTTGGCAGCTGGATCGCGCACGGCGTGGCCAAGAAGTTGATGGCGCAAGGATACGAGCCCCCTCTCCAGCTCTTCGTTTCCGCGTTTCCGCCGCCCACCATCCCAGCAGCCAAGCGCCCTTGGAACTCATCAAGGCGCGTCCGCATTGCTGGTTGCTTTGCACATGCGTCTCCATGTTTATCCCCACAAGCACGCCGCGCCACACGATTCTTGGACGTCCTCTCTCATTGTAATAATGTAACTCTGCATCCTTTCGCTCTACAGGGTAATGTCGGATTCAGAGCTGCAGGCGGAAGCGCGCGCGTGGGGCGTCAACCCGGTTGTGTTCCAGCAGCACGTCTGGTCCACGTATGCGCCCCTCTTCCGTGCAGACTTTCGCCTCTTTGACGAACAACGCCCCATGGTGTGTGTGTGTATGTGTGTGTATGTGTGTGTGCGGGTGAGAGAGAGTGTGTGTGGTTGTGTGTGTGTATGTATGTGGTTGTGTGCGCGTGCGTGCTTGCTGGTGGCTGTGTGCGTGTCTGTCGTTTGTGGACGCATTCATGCAAGCAATTGTGCCAGGAGTGTACCAATTCCTTCCTTCGACACACCACGGGCTTAACCCCCACCCCCCGTTTCATTCATCCCATTTCCCTGCCTGCAGTCGTCGGCGGACGCGTGGCTTGGAAGCGTCCCCATCCACGTCACAGGCGCCTCGCACGACACCCGCATCATGCCCCATTTGCTGAGTGAGTCCGAGCATTGCAGCGTTGCCGCGTTGCCGTCTATTCCTCGTGTTCGTTGATGTACGTCATCGTTGCACTGCATATGCAACATACCTGCCCGACTTCCTGTGTTCTCTCCTTCAATCGCGTCTCACACACCACCGACCCCACACGCCATTCTTGTGTTGCGTGTGGTGCTGCAGACGGGTGGCGGAAGCTGTCGTCGCACTGCAGCGTCGATACCGTCGATGGCGGACATCTCTTCGTCTTTGATGCACCGGCACGCGCCAGCGTAAGGGCATGGACGGGGGGAATGCATTTTCGGGAAAGGAGAGTTATGCGACACACACACACACACACACATACATACAGTATCTATCTCACTCTCACACACACACATGTACAATATCTACCTCACACTCGCACACACACACATACACACACACACATACATACATACAATATCTACCTCACACTCACACTCACACACGTTTATTCACACACACACATGCGCACACATGCACACACATGCACACACACACACTCACCCCGCGCCTCATTCCCCTCCGTCTTTGCTCTCGCCAACTCCGGCGGTGCAGTGGTTTGATATGATCATCAAGGGTGTCGATGCGTTGACAATATCGCGCCTGACGCCGCAGGTGCTCCTGCATGACGTCATCAGCTCCATCGTCAACCACGGCACCGCCCCCTCCATCGACCGCCTCGCACGCGCCCACAGCGAGACTGCAGAGACCATCACCACCGCGCTGTGCTCGCTGCCCGGCGTCGTCGTGCACCCGCTCCTGGCAAGCGTGGTCGAGGTGCAGCCCTTCTCGCTCGTGCCGTCGTCTGTCTGTATCCGCAGCCACATCTCCGACGCAACGTGGTGGGCGCCGACGCTGTTTGCTGCGCTCGGTGCTGCTGGCACGGCGCTGGCCGAACAGCCGCTGCTGTCCATCACGTGCTCTGTTGGCGGCGCTGAGCAGCAGGCGAGCATTGTCGTGCGCCACGGCCAGCTGTGCGGCGTCGACCAGGTCGACAGCGATGATGGTGGTGATGGTGGTGGTGTTGGCGATGGTGACGGCGAGGAGAGCGGCATTGGCAGCAGGAGCAGCCGGCTCGATGCTCATGGTGACGCCGTGCAAAGCAGTGACGTGTCTGACCTGGAGGCCGAGATACAGCGGGCGCTGCGGCTGCACGACCAGACCACCACCGCCTCCGTCGCCCTTCCCTCATCCTCGTCAGCACCACTGGCATTGTCATCGTCATCGTCATCGTCGTCGTTTGGTGCGCGAAGGAACAGCAGCGCCGTGACCGGCCAACATCACATCGACGAGCGAGGTGCTGTGCACGGTGCCCGCCGCCGCCACAGCGAGCAGCACGCACCAGCTGCCTTCACGTCATCATCGTCAGCATTATCGTCGTCGTCATACCCAAGCAGCGCGCGTGGTAGCGGTGGGCGCGGGTGCATTGAGCTGAGCGCGGCCCAACTCGACCGCTGCTATGTGTACTTCCTCGTCGACCCCGTGCCCGTTATCGATGAGCAGGGACGCGAGCAGGAGATGAGGGCGCACACGCCGATGGCGCAGGAGTCAGCTGTACACCATGTGGATGTTGGATATGGCACGACGCTGCTGCTGTCCAACAAGGTTGCGCATGCGTGGCGTGAGCAGCACCACATGCCGTCAGGGCGCATTCTGCCGCTCGTGTCCGCCTTTGAGCTCGCCAAGCGCTGCTTTGCTTTCGCGGCTGTGCACGACCCGCAGACAGTAGGCAGCAGCGGGTGGTGATGAGGACGGTGGATGGGGGTTAGCGATCATGGTGGTGACGCTGACGGTTGTGGAGGTGGCGATGAAGATGCTGGTTGTGAAAGTGGTTGTGAAAGTGGTTGTGAAAATGGTGGCGGTGCGAGCTTGAGGTCTTGCACACTGCGTCGTTTCGTGGTGTTGTGAGGTGTAGCAAGATAGGTTTCATTCTATTGTGTCGTGTTTCGACTGTGGCTGCACGCTTGTATTGCTTGTTTGACCTATTGGTTGAATTTGGCGACACTGCATGTACGACACCATATGTTGTACTGTATTGTATTTGTTGAAAGGGTATTTACTACCTCTGCTTCGCTCGTGTGCGTCCAAACAACCGTTTTGTTTTGGTCTCATGACCGGGCTGTGTATGATGTGTTGTTGTGTGCAATTGACACCTCTCTTCTCCCTGTGATGGCACGTTGGCAGTGCCATTATTGACATGTGTAAACGCCGCTGTAATCCCAGAGCACTATGAAGTTGGTACACAGAATCCAATAACAAGCGAGTGACACGGCGTAGAAGGAGGAAGCGAACAAACGAAACAACCTTTGGGAGAGGGGACGAGCCAGGAATACCAACAAACAACTCGAAACAGGCAAGCAGCAAAGTAGGTTCACGTCGACAGCTGGACGGGCGGACGGACAAGCAGACAGCGAGCGAGAGAAAGGCACAGACAGACAGACAGACACATACACACACACACACACACAGATACACACACACACACACACACACACACACACACACACACACACACACACACACACGCACAGAGCACTTCATTCATATCAGACACTTGTCAGCTCCGCCGTGCCGTGCGAGGCGGAAGGGCGAAGCAAAATCGCAAGAATGCTTGCAAGCAACAGCACCGCAACTCCAACAACAACTGCAACAACCACGCCTCCAAGCGAGCCTGCAGCTGAACTGCTGCTGCCCGGTGGGTCGGGCGAGATGCGCCGCTCATCGTTTACGGCGGCCAGGGCGATGGGTAATCCACTGCCACCAGCAGTCGCGTTGGTGGCTGATGTTGATGTTGATGTTGATGTCGATGTCGTGGTGGCTGTGCTGTTCCCTTCAGTCGAGGGTGGCAGCGACGGCAGCGTGAGCGCCTCTTCACCTGATCCACTGCCGCTAAACGTCGCAGACGCTGTTGTTGTTGTTGTTGTTGCCGTGGTTGTAGCCGTGGTGGTGGTTGTCAGTGTCACTTCGCCCGAGCCACTGCCGCTCGATGTGGTGCTGGTTGTCACTGTTGTGGAAGTTGAGATGGTAAACTCTCCAGAGCCACTCCCACTCATGCTCGTGCTGCTGGTTGTTGTTGTTGGAGAGGGTGTAGTTGTATCTTCACGGCTGCGACAAATCGCCCACGAGCATAGGGGTGTGCGCCTGCACTCGGCTTCGCTCTGGATGGCAGGACAGTCGTACGCCACCTCGCACGTGTCCCCATTGAGAATGCAGCCAGGCCGATTCTCGCACGCAATTGGCAGAGGTGCCTTGCACGGGCGCTGGAAGCGAACACAGTTGCCTGCAAGCATGCAATTCGGATTCTGCACACACAGTTGTGGGACAACAATCAAGCTGCACTCGTCTGGAGCTATCAAAGATGACGTGGTGGTGGGAAGCGTCACAGTGCCAGACCCACTTCCGCCCGTGCTGGTCGTGGTAGCTGTTGTGATGGTCGTAGTGGGCGTTGTGGTGGTCGAAGTCGTTGAGGTGACTTCCATCATGCTGGTGGTCGTGGTTGTGGTGGTGGCGGTCGTGGACATGGTAAACTCGCCAGACGCACTCTCACTGGACGTGCTTGTGCTGGCAGTGGTTGTGGTGGTTGTGGTGGTGGTGGACGTGGACGTGGTAAACTCGCCAGACGCACTCTCACTGGACGTGCTTGTGGATGTTGTGGCAGTCGTGGTGGTGGTTGTGGCTGTGGTTGCTGTGCTGGTGGTGGTTGAGGTCACTTCCAACATGCTTGTCGTGGTGGTGTTCGTCGTGCCTGTTGTCTCAATTACCTCAGTTGTGGTGGTTGATGCTGTTGTCTCAGTTGATGCGGACGTCGTCGTCGTCGTTGCTGTTGTTGTTGTTGCTGTTGTTGTTGTTGTTGTTGTTGTTGTCGTTGTCTCGGTTGATGATGATGATGGTGATGATGACGATGATGATGATGATGATGATGATGATGATGATGATGATGATGATGATGATGATGATGATGATGATGATGATGTTGTTGTTGTTGTTGTTGTTGTTGTTGTTGTTGTCGTCGTCGTCTCGGTTGATGATGATGACGACGATGATGATGACAACGACGACGACGATGTTGTTGTTGTTGTTGTCGTCGTCGTCGTCGTCGTCGTCGTCGTTGTTGTTGTTGTTGTTGTTGTTGTTGTTGTTGTTGTTGTTGTTGTTGTTGTTGTTGTTGTTGTTGTTGTTGTTGTTGTTGTTGTTTCTGTTTCAGTTGTTGTTGTTGTTGTTGTTGTTGTTGTCTCAGCCGTCGTGAATGTTGTCTCAGCCATCATTGTTGTAGTAGTAGTAGTAGTTGTTGTTGTTGTTGTTGTCGTCGTTGTTGTTGTTGCCTCACGCGGCACGCATGCGCGCCGCCAAGAGCATAGGTTGGTTATCCTACATGTCCGCTCATCCTGCCGAAGAGACAGCCCGCAAGGAGAAACGACGCTTCTGGTGAGCACCGCTTCAATCGCTTCAATACACAGAGACAGGCAGGTATCATCCAATCAACACGCCCCTGCCCAAGGTATGGATGTGCACAGCGCACAGAGTCAAGTACGCATGGGAGCCAACTTCTCACCTCCACTGCAGCGCAGTCGTAGTCAACCTCACAACGATCACCGTTGAGGCGGCAGCCAGGTGAAAGCGCACAGATGACGGGGATTGGAGAATTGCACGAGCGCGGCGATACGGTGCAGAAGAATGTGGCCTGGCAGTCTGGATCACGCTCGCACTGCTGGACGCTCCTGTGCTGAGCACATTGTGCGTGGTTGGCGTGTGCGTGGGCTAGAACGCCCAACAGCCCAACTGCAAGCAGCACGAAGCGGCTCATAGCGGTTATTGATGCGGTGCAAAGTGGGGAGAGAACAGAAGAACTAGCCAGGGAGCAGAGATGTGGAGTGGGGGTTCCTGTCGGCAAACCAAGATGTGGTAAAGCGAAGTCGGATAGTGTGCTCTTTGCTGGGTGATGATAGCCGTCGTCTTTCTGGCACTTGCAGGGAGTCGGTTGGACGGACGGTATGAAGACGGGTCAACAACTGGTGACGCGGTGTGCGGGAAATGCAAGATGAGAAATGCAGGATGGAAGGATGGAGGGTGTTGTGAGCCAACGGTCGCACACTGCGCAGCCAAGGCGTTGCAGGAGAGGGCGAAAGGCACAGCCGAAGGAAGATGCAGCCAGAGGCACGCGAAATAGTGCGCGCGCACCCGCGTGCGTGCGTGCTTGTGCGATGCAGTGCGGCAGTGCGCATGCGAGTGTTCATGTGCTTGCGTGCGAGTGTTCGCGTGTTTGTCTGTGTGTGCGAGTGTGCGAGGGCGTGCACATGCTTGCTTCTGCGCTACTGCACAGCACACCACGCGTGCGCACGCCTTTGCGCACGTCTAAACGCGGGCGTGGCTGGCCATCACCATCACCACTGTCGAGATGCCACTGTGTCTGAGCTGGAACAGCCTCACCCATACATGCATGTGGGGCGACCACGTGAAAACCATCCAGCACCCGCGAGTCTCGGAACAGCAGCAGCAACATCAATCAGGTCTGTCATCGCGGGCGAACGCCTGGAAGTGTGCAAGCAACCGTGGTCGGGTGGGGCGCAGCGGGCAAAGGAAAGGGCTGTCACAGCTGTGCGCAGTGGGTTCACATGTTGTGTGACATGGTGTAAACGCAAGAATAAGTGTTCTTGATAATCTTCAATCAGCATGCGACCGTGCAGCAACACACAACCTACTCAGCTCGTGCTCCAATCAATTGCAACGCACCGCCATCATCACTGCGGCCATCCATCTTGGTCGTCATTGTCATCATTGTCATCATTCAGCAGCCGCGAAATTCAAAACGCACCGTTACTTTTGCAAGCGAAGCAGGCGGTTGATTGATGTATTTGACACAACTTACAATGCATCGTGCCGCCCTCTCTCACTCGCTCGCCCGTTCGAGGGTTGGTGAGCAGCTGCAACAACGAGCAAGAGCTGGGCCATCTATGAATAGATGACGATAGACAATGGCATCTGCAGGCAGGCAGGAAGCGAGTCGAAGGTGCGTGAGCGAGTGTTTGCATGCGCTCATGATTGCGATTGCGTGAGTGTTGTTTCCGCACTGCAGCCACCCATGCAAGCAGAGCACTGCCGCAGCACCTGCGCCCTGCAAAGCCAACAAACAACCTTCTCAAGCGTTTGTCATGTTCATGGATCAATCATCATAGACATTCACTCATAGCACCCATCCCTATCTGGCGAGCTAGGTTCACTGCAACCCACCCACCCTTTAGGTTTCTCACCATCTCCATTGTTTCTATTGATTATGCCTCTCCCATCCCAACTACACGGCCAGGCCGAACGCACCCTGTTCGTGATTGGACGGCAAACACCCATACCCATGCCACACCATCAGCATCAGAACACCAAAGTACCAGAGCACGAGCGCATCAGAGCATCAGTACCGCGCGCGATGAACTCAGGATGTGAGCGAGCAAGTGGCGGCGGCTTCGCCAATGTGTCCATTTTTATCGTCATCTAGCGACCGCATCGACCACACACAATACAGCGCGTGGACGTTGCTTTGTGTGAGCCCCTGACACCATCATATCCCGATATCTGCATCACACGTGAGCCGAGACAAGAAGACAAGACCCGACATGACCTGCCAGGTGCTGCTTCTGTTTGGCATTGGCCTTGCCCTGACGCGGCTGCCTGCGGCTTTCGCCCAGTGTGAAGACCACGTGAGTCCGCGACTGTGTGCTGCAGACCCGGAATGCGAGGTGTCTGGCACGTGCTCTGCTGTGAGGCAGCTGTGCGCGGCGCCACTCGCCGTCCCTTGCAGCGCCCGTCCAGGCTGTATCATCAACGACGACGGACAGTGCGTGAATGAATTTGAATGCTCCACCCATGATGTAAGTACACAAGCTGGTTCTGTGCGCGAGTATGCGCTTGGGGGAAGGGACTGCGAATGCCATGAAAATGTACATCATCGCCTGCTCTGTTTGCGTTGAACACGAACGCGCACGCGCACGCATTGTATTGCTTTTGTATTGGTTCTCTCTCCCTTCCTACATACATACACACACGCACACGCGCGCCCTCACTCACACGTCTGCCTGTCTTCACCCGCGTCGCTGTGTATGCGTGAGCAGGACCAGCTGTCGTGCCGGCGAACGCCGCTGTGTCTGTGGTTTTTCACGTGCGTGCCGCGCGAGGGTGGAGATACCACAAGCACCACCGAGGCAGAGCCGACAACAGCAGAGCCGACAACAGCAGCGACGACAACGACGACCTCGGAGACGACAGCGTCCACCACCACGACATTGGCTGAGAGCTCAACGATGCACTCTTCCACGCACGAAGCAACAACCACCAGCACCACGGCTACGGAAACCACGACTGAAGGCGACGAGAGCGGGTCTGGAGAGGCGACACTTGAACCAACTATTCCCTCCTCATCCTCATCAACACCATCCACCGGTAACACGACGAACACCACCACTGCCGGCAACAGCAGCAGCACAACGGCGTTCATCAACCTTGGCACGCTCTTCCCAGCCGCTGCTGGTGCTGAGGGGAGTGCCACCGTGAACACGGCCTCGGAGGCTGCTTCTGGCCACGCCGCCATGAGCGGAAACGTGGTGGTGGCCGTTGCCATTGGACTCGCTGCGCTTGTCATTGCTGGCCTCCTCACCTACTTCCTCCGGCGCTCATCGCAGCCGGAGGCACAGGCCGGCGAGGACGTGTGAGAGACGTGGTTGTGTGTGTGTGTGTCTGTGTGTCTGTGCGTGCGCGTGCGTGTGTGTGTCTGTGTGCATATGTGAGTATGTGAACGTGAACGTGCATGTGTCTGTGTTTGGTTGGTTGGTCGTCACCATAAACAAGCATCAACTCTGCAAAAGTAACGGAAACCAACAAGCGAAGCAAGATGACAACAATGATTCAGGCTGTGGCGGCGGGCTCTGTGCGGATGGTGCGAGAGCAGATGGAACAAGGGGCAGACATCAACTCGGCCGGATCCGAAGGGCTGATGCCCCTCTGCGTCGCAGCCTTCTGGGGCCACCTTCCACTCGTCGAGGTGTGTGTGTGTGTGATGTGATGTGATGTGATGTGATGTGATGTGTGTGTGTTTGTGTGTGTGTGTGTGTCTGTGTGTGTCTGTGTGTGTCTGTGTGTGTCTGTGTGTGTCTGTGTGTGTCTGTGTGTGTCTGTGTGTGTCTGTGTGTGTCTGTGTGCGTCTGTCGTTGTGTGTGTGTGTGTGTGTGCGTCTGTGTGTCTCCCCCTCTGTCTCTGTCTCTGTCTCTCCCTCTCCCTCTCCCTCTCCCTCTGTCTCTGCCTCTGTCTCTGTCTCTCTCCCTCCCCTCTCTATGCAGGCACGTGCGTACACACGCATCCATGCGTGTGCTGCCTCGTGTGCTGCTGTTGTCTCATTGCCGCCGCCACCCAACTGCCACATGTTCCTCTCGTCAGATGATGCTGGAGAACGGTGCAGATGTGAACGTGCAGAACCCAAGCAACAAGTGGACGCCGCTCCACGCTGCTGCGATTCAAGGCACGCGCCAGCATCACGTCCAGCCCCTCGCTTCGCTTTTTGCCATGAAAGCTTCTGTTCACACGCCACGTCTTCACCTCTCACTTCACGCTCTGTCTTGCGCTTCTCCAGGTCACGGTAAGGTGGTGTTTGCCTTGATGGATCACAACCCAGACACCACGCTGGTGGACGCCAACGGCTGCACTGCCGGTCCGTAAGCGATGGTGGCGCGTGCGAGTGAGTGAGTGAGTGAGTGAGTGTGTGTGCGTGTGTGCGTGTGTGAGTGAGTGAATAAGCGAGAGCATGGGTGCGTGCGTACATGTGTGCCCATGCGTATGGTATCGGAAGTGCGTGGTGTGCCAATGTCTGTGTGCAAGTGCTGTGAATCTGCCTGACACTGGAACAAGCCGCCTATCTCACATCGCCGACATGCGCTGCCATTCTCCCTTACGCCTCTGCCTTGAGTGCAGCGGACTATGCATCGGCGCTTGATAACGTGTGGCCACACTTTGCTGCGGCGGGACACACACGCACGCCCAAGCCAGAGCTCATCAAGAAGGGCATCATCTTCAAAGTGCCAAAGAAGGTGCGAAAGCACTTGTGTGCATGCGTGCGTGCGTATATGCGTGTGTGTGCATGCACTTTTGTGCGTACGTACGTATGTGTATGTGTGTGTGCTAGCGTGCACAAACGTTGCTCATTGCCTTGTGTTGGCTCAAGCTGTGTCATCACCATTGTTGTGGAACGTGACAGACGCACGACCACGTCATGGCTGCGTCCCACCTCAACCGACCTGGTTCTGCATATGCGGTCCGCCAGCGTCCTCTTTACGGTCAGTCATGAAACCATACGCACACATGGTTGGTGTGTGTATGTGTGTGTGTGTGCGTGCGTGTGTGTGTATGTGTGTGTACGTGCTTGCGTGTATGTGTATGTGTGTGTGTCTGTCTGTCTTTGCTCTGTCTGTCTGTCCGTCACACACACACACTATCTCACTCACACACACACACACACACACACACACACACACGCACGCACACACACACATTATCTCGCCCTCCACACTGCCCTGCGTCTCCACATGTACATGTGCTTGCGCTTCGTTGTGCTATGTGCCCCTGCAGGGCGGGACACGTCCCACGGCGATGTGCTGGCAGAGGAGGACGAGGGCGATGGCGGCCAGCACCGCAGCAGCGTACCAGAGATTCTCCGCTCCTGATGCGACACACACACACACACACACACACACACACACACACACACATACACATACACATACACACACATACACACACACACACACACACACACACACACACACACACACACATGAACGCACACGCGCGCACGCACGCACACACTCACACATACACACACGCGCACGTACGCACGCACACGCACGCACACACACACGCACATGTGCTGGTTGCAGCTTGTAGATGAATTGAGAGTGCCAAGGTTATGTTACGTTTGCGTGGTGACATTCCATTACATGACTTCTTTGTCGTCCTCTATTTAGGCGAAGGGATAAGGAAAGAATGGAACACTAACACATGCACTAACAACGCAAGCAGCGCGCAACACGGCAGCAGCGGACAAACACAAGCCTGTGTAGCCGGCATGTATGTACAAAGGCATAGCAGTCAAACCCAAAGGCACAGCGACAACAACAACAACAACATGAACAGCAAACATCAGCAACAAACATCATCAACAAACACCGAACAACCAACAACAAAGGTTATGCCTCGAGTGCGGGGATCATCTGCTTCTTCCTGCTGAGAACACCGTGCAGCACAACGTGCAGCTCCCCATCCTCCGTCTCGCTCACCGACGCCTTGATCCCGGCCTTGCTAAACGCGTCAGACACGCGCGCAGCCTCCACTTGGTCGTCCGTGACAAGGACAGCGCGACCGGCAGTAATGTCCACCACAAAGAAGAGCACGCGGTCGAGACTTTCGCGCGCTTTCACAGTGTGGGCGGCTTCAAGGATGTCTTTGCTCCGCGCCAGCACGCTGGGGCCGTGTGTCGTCTCAACCACACTCACTCGTGTACGCCTGGTGTGTGCGCATGTGTGTGTGTGTGTGTGTGTGTGTGTGTGTGTGTGCATGTGTGTGTGTGTGTGTGTGTGTGTGTGTGTGTGGTAAGTGAGTGTGTTTGGGGGTGGTCGCAGTGGATAAGAGAGGACAAGGCAAGCACACACAGTCAACACAAACGTGCCCAGACGACTCCACTCTCCCGCCCGTCAAGAACACATCAAAGGGGTTGCTACGTACTCTCCGTGCAGGGTGTATGTCTTCGAGTCGAGGAGAACGAGCTGTTCGCCAGAGAGGTGCGACACGCGGCTCTTGGCCTCCAGCATCGCTGGTCCGAGCTCGGCAGCAGACACGCCTGGCGGTGTTGGCGGAGGCCGGGGGGTGAGGGAAAGGGGGCGTTTGTTGGGGTTTGAAGGGCGTGGGGAAAGAAGCCAAACGAGGGAAGAGGAACGCAAGCAGGCGGGTAGGTAGGTAGGTATGTGAAGACGCAGACAGACACAGACGCACACCCTCAGACACAGACGCAGACACACAATACAAACATACATACGCAGACACAGACACACACACACACACACACACCGACACACCTGCGATTGCCTCGAGCTCCTTGGCGGCCTGCTCGTCGGCGTCGGTGGTGGTGACGCTGCGGAAGTGGAGAGAGTCCGAGAGAATGCACGCCAGCATGAGCTGGGCAACCTCCGGCGTGATGGTGTAACCCTGGGCAAGCGGTGGCAGGTGACGGGGTGTGGTGATGTGGTGGAAAGCAGTGGTGATGCAGTGTATGAGGGAAGAGGCCGTGTGGAACAAAAAGAAAGGCTGCGACAATGTCTGCAGTGTGCAAAGGTTGCATCCACACACGCACACAGACAAACACACACACACACACACACACACACTCACACACACACACACACACACACACACACACACACACACACACACGCACAGACAAACACACACACACACACGCACAAACACACACACTCACACACACACACAGACAAACACACACACAGACACACACAAACGCACGCACACACACATCGTCTCACCTTGGCCTTGAATCGGTGGAAGAGAACACTGCCTGTGCTGCAGAGCGGGCGCACATCCATCTCAAGCGGCGCCATGGTGGTCAGGCCGGCGAGCTTATGGTGGTCGATGATGGACGTCACATTCGCTTTGGCAATGTCACTTGGGAGCTCCTGGTGACCGCGTGAGCGGTCATGGGTGTGGGGAAGTGATGTGTGTGTGTGTGTGTGTAAGTGATGTGTGTGTGTGTGTGTGCGTGTGTGTATGTGTGAATGAGTGGGTGAGTGAATGAGTGGGTGAGTGAATGAGTGGGCGAGGAAGTCAGCACACATGAACAAAGCACACACACACACACACACACACACACACACACACACCCACCCACACACACACAGACAGACACACACACATACATACACACACACACACGGACACACGCACGAGCACACGAGGGAGCAAGACGTACAGCTGGGTTGTTGGTGTCGACGATGGCCACAGAGTCGCATGGGCGGGCACGTAGGTCCGGCAGTAGCGGCGGCACGTCCACCTTGAACTGTCGTCAAAACGACGAAGGCAAGAGGAACCATGAGTGTCAACAAGAGCAGTTGCCACGACAAGGTGCCACGATAAGGTGCCACGATGGGGTTACGTGTGGACAACCTCAGCAAGTCGGGGTGCGAGTGAGCAACAAGGGCAAGCACGTCGTCACACTCACCCGTTGCAGCACGTATTCCGTCTCTGGGTTGAGGTCACCGAGCCGATATGCCGTGGCCTTGGAGCCATCGTGCTCCAGCTCAATGGCACGCACAATGGCTGCGCACACAGCATCCGTATCAGGGATCTACAAGACACGTAGCATGGAGTGTGACAATGCAGTGTGCGAGTATCAAGGACGTCAACAACAAAGTGAGGTGGTGCGGGCGCACATCTGCGTAGGGAGGCATATGAACACATACACGATGGGAACGACCCCCACGAAGCTGACAGACACGATGGGTACACGTACAGACACACACACACACAGACACACAGACACACACACACACACACACACAGACACACAGACACACAGACACACAGACACACACACACACACACACACACACACAGATAGACACACACACACACACACAGACACACACACACACAGACACACACACAGACACACACACACTCACTCACACACACAAAACCAACCTTATGGCCAAAGACGCAGACGGTAGCCGCCTGTGATGAGTTGAAGCGCATCCCACCACCCATCATGGTAGCAGCAGCAGCAGCAGCAGCAGCAGGACAGCTGGTGCTGGTCCCTGCTCTCGCCAAAGCGCTCGTGATCGCAACAACAGGCAACCCGAGTCGCACAAACCTCATCATCATCATCATCACCATCGTGTGTGTGTGTTGTTGTCCTTCTTGTGCAGACGAAAATGGCGCGACTGCTGTTTCGTTTGTGTTGTGTTGTTGTTTGGATGTTGCACATGCACGTGTGTGTGGGTGTGATTGTGATCTGATCGACCTGTTTCCCCTCGCGCTTCTTGTGCGCGCGCATGTGTGTGTGTTCACCCAGCTCAGCCTACGCATGTTTAGCATCATCTTCAGCACCAGATAGGTAGGACAACACGAAAAGCTAACAACATGCCAGGGAGAGACGGGCATGCACACACACACACACACACACACACACACACACACACACACACACACACACACACACACACACACACACACACACACACACACACACACACACACACAACGCACTCAGACGGGCTCTGGCCCCTTTGCGCGCTTTGAGTCTGGGAGTGCCCTGCCCTGTGCAATCATGCGTCGCTTCTCCTCCTTGCCAAGTGCGCGGTACACTTCCTTCATCTTCTCCTTGCGGATGCGCGTGCGCTCCAGCTCGCTCTTTACGTACTTCTTCTTCGCCTCCTGTCGACCGCACACGACCCACCAGCAACAGGAGGGAGGCAGCGTGAGAAAATGTAGCAGTTGTAAGCAGAACGCAGCTCTGATGTCACACACACACACACACACACCCAACAGACAGACAGACAGACAGACAGACAGACAGACACACACACACACACACACACACCTCGCGTTTCTGTGCTCTCCGGGCCTTCTTCTTGGCGTTCATATCGTTGCGAATGGTGGCGAGCTGGTGAACAGAAACAGGAGGACCGCAGATCGGAAGGCAGTGTGAGCAGGGTTAATGGGCCAAGGAAATGCACACACACTCAAACACACGCGCGCACGCACACACACACACACACACACACACACACACACACACACACACACACAGACAGACACACAGACAGACACACAGACACACAGGCGACAGCGGCAGCGCACCTCCTGCAAGAGACTGATGCGCTTCCGCTCCTTCTCCGAGAGGACAACAGCACGCTTTGTCTCGTATGTTGCGTGACGACGCTTTGTCGCGAGCTGGCGGTGGGCAACGTGCAAACGGGGTCATGAGATGGCGATGCAAGGGAGCTGCTGTGTTTCACTGTGGTCATGTTGGATGGAGCCAAGCAAGCGAATACAAGCAGGCAAAACAAAAAGAAATGCACTCAAGTGTATACGCACGCAAATGCACAAGTGCAAATACACATTCGCACGCGTACACGCGCCCCACCTTTGGCTTTGTCTTGAAGGGAAGGTTTGCCTGGAGCTTCTTGGGGACCTTGAGCGGATTAAAGCGCCGCTCCTTGCGGTGGATTGGCCGGTACTCGGAATCTTTCCTGGTGGTCCACACACACACACACACACACACAGGGGTGAGCACATACAACAAACAATAGTGTGTGTGTGTGTGTGTGTGTGTGTGTGTGGTTTTGTCACTTCCACAGTGTCTGACCGCACAATATCACCACACGACAGCACGCTTGCTACTGGGACGTACTTGCGCGGGGTTGGCAGTCCGTTTGCAATGCGCAGCACCCACGTCGACCGCATCCCGCCCCACGCCTGGCAGTCGCAGCGGTGACGAAGACGGTGATACGGGGGAACGGGGCAGTGAGTACGCAAAAGACATGCATGACGAGGAGCGACATGTCGGAGGTCGAGGAAACCTCAAGGATTTCAAGCGGAAACAAGCAACAACAACAACAACAACAACACAGAACAACAACAACTTAAACAACAACAACAACAACAACAACAACAACAACAACAACAACAACAACAACAACAGCAACAACAACAACAACAACAACAACAACAGCAGCAGCAGCAGCAGCAGCAGCAGCGGCGGCAGCGCAAGACAGGATGCTGCATCACACACCGTCTTGTCTGGGAGGAGGAGCGAGAGGACGGGGTTGTAGAACTTTGGCGGCGTAACAGGGTACCACGTGCGAAGAAAGATGATGTCACTCATCAGAATGCGGTCCTCAAACGTGGCGCGGAACTGGGGTGGAGGTGACGGTGAAGGGCGTATTGTGAGGTGGTGATGATCCGCAAAGAGCAGCAACGGTGGCGAACATGATATGTACACGAGCACACACTCAAACACGCACACAGCCACAGGCACACAGCCACATACACAGACACAAAACCACACACATACACAGACACGAGCACAAAGCAAAACCACTCCCCCCTCCTCAACCTCCACTGCGTACCGCGCCGTCTGGGGCGCGGATGGCGCGCTTGATCTGCCCGCGAATGCCGGAGACGGTCTTGATGGCGGCGCCCTGGAACTTGGCCACCTCAAGCGCAGAGTTGAACATGCCCTTGATAAACGCAGTGTTCTTAACAACCTGCACAGCACAGCACACAACAGCGGGAGCAGGGTTGGTTGCGGTGGTGGTGGTGATGATGAGCGACGAGGGGATGAGAGGGGATGCGCGTGGAAGGGTAGCCAAGGTGCACAGAATGTGATGCATTTGTTGTTCTGTTGCACACCTGCACTACAACAAACACACACATACACACACACACGCAGACACAGGTATAGATACGCACACAGGCACACAGGCATACATACGCGCACACAGGCACACACACACACACATCACACGAACCTTCATGGGGTAGCCGACGAGCTTGAGCTTCTTGACGATGTCCGACGTCTGGTCGAGCTGGACAACAGTTCCTGTTCCCGTGACGCGGAAGTCTGTGCCGGCCTCCCCGCTGTTGATTACCGTCAGGCACCCGGACCCAGGATCCACAAACGGCGCTGGGAAGCATGGTCAGGGTGTGGCAGCGTTGGTGAAGGACATCGAGAGAAGCAAGCGGGGAGGTGGTCGGGACATAGAGCAAGTCAACAACAAGGCGGCTTCAAGGTCGCATGAATAAAGACACAGATACACACACACACAAATAAACACAAACATACACACACACAAGTACACACACACAAGTACACACACACACACACACACACACACACACACACACACACACAAGTACACACACACACACACACACACAAGTACACACACAAGTACACAGACACACAGACACACACACACACACACAAGTAAACACATACACAAACACACAAGCACACACAAGTGCACACACAGATACAGATGCACACCACAACACAACGCGCATGTGCTCACCGTAAACGCAGGCGACGCAGTGGACGTGGTCCGGGGTGACCTTGAGAAGGCGGTGGCGGTGGTTGTCGTCCTGCGACGCGTAGAGCGGGGTGGTCTGGAACCGTCGCCACCCCATGGACATGATCACGGGGTCTCTGTTCTTCAGCCGCCGCTGGTAGAAGCGATGCCGCTTGAAGCGGATCTGGATGAAGCCCATCTCCTCCTCCTGGGGCAGCACCCCGCCCAGGATGTATGGGTACGACGCGTCAAAGTACTCCACAAGCTCCATCGGAACACCGTGCACCTCCACCCGCACATACAGGCCCGGTCGGTAGCCCTCATACTCCACGCGCAACGTATCATCCTCGTCGGCGAATTCGTCCATGTTGAACTTGACGCGCTCCGCAAGCTCATCCTTGACCTCATCGAAATGCGTCTTGCCGCCGCCGGACACGCGATCGTACTCCTCATCAAACAGCGCCTTCATGCGCGCTTTCTTCAGTTCCCGTTTCTGCCGTGAGGTCAATGCGCTCTTGGGCTGCTCTTCCTCATCCTCACCCTCGTCCCCCTCACCCTCTCCATCAGCATCAGCGTCGCCCATCTCTCCCTCGCCGCCAGCAGCAGCAGCACTGGACGACGTGTGCACCTCGCCCGTCTCAAGGTCCTCAAAGTCGCCAAACTCATCGTCCTCAGCACCATCACCATCGCCGTCGCTGTCGCCTTGCTCGAGGGACTGCTTGTGTTTGTCGAGGAGCGTCTGTGCATCGTCGTCCTCGTGCCACTCGCCCGTCACAAACTGGTTCTTCAGCTCTGCAATCAGCTGCATGCAGCGGACATCGAGAGCCAGGGGGTTGTGGGCAAGGGGGCGGTCACGTGAGGAAGCAAGGGAATGCATGAGTGGGTGGTGTAGAGCAGAAGCTGTAATGGCTTTACAATGAAATGAGTATGCACACCGTGTGCATGGCAAACATGCCAACACACGTGCATGCACGCATCCAACACACATGCATGCATACATACAAACTCGCATGCACGCACACACACACACACATACACGCAACTTCCAAGATCACAAAGCAAGTGGCTCACGTCTTCTTCGTCCCAGTCGTGGTCGATGGCTGTGCTCCATGCGCCACGCGAACTGTCGTGCACCTCGTCCGCCTTGGCCTTCGACCGCATCGTGAAGAAGTCATCACCGTCATTGTCGTCGTCGTCGCTGTCGTCGATTTCTTGCATTTCGGGCGAGCCATCAAGCGCATCCCCCTTGCCGTACACTGAACAAGCGTTCGCACACATACACACACACATGCAGGCATGTGTAAGCATAAAGCAGAGAAACAGCCACGCATTAGCGGCCATGCCCACACTTGCGATGTGCACAACGGGTACACCAGCCCACAATACCAGCGCAACCGACGCACAACACAACACAACAACACACAACAACCACACACAACTACACACAACTACATACAACAACACACAACAACTACACACAACTACACACAACACAACACAACACACAACACAACTACGCACAACAACACACGCCACAACACAACACAACACAACACAACACAACACAACACAACACACAACTACACACAACACATCACAACAACTCCACACATCACAACACAACACAACACATCACGACAACACAAACGGACGCATCAACGGTCTGAGACGCACGTTTGCCATAGACGAGCTCGTGCAGGTTTGCGGCGTGTCGCGTTTCGTGGTGCTTGGATGCGCGCTCCAGCATGCCTTCCTTCCACCGCGCGCCGCCCACGCCGCCGTCCTCAGCGTCACCATCGTCGTCGCCAACATCACGGAAGTCCGGTTCTGCGTCCTCATCCTCCTTCATTGCGCGATCGCCAGCCTTGTCTTCATCCTCATCCTCATCCTCATCACCTTCCTCTTCCTCATCCTCATCCTCATCGTCGTCCTCAAACTCGAGTCCCTGCTGCGCCGCTGCGCGTGTGTCCGCTGCATCAGCAAATACGGCGCGGCGGCGAACGCGCCCACCAGCGCGCACCCGCTCCTCCGCAGGGAGAGACGTCCTCGACACGGCACCATCATCACTATCATCATCCTCACCCTCATCATCCTCGTCATCGTCCTCGTCACTGTCGCTGGCATCGACATCGCTGCCCTGATCGTGTTGCTCGCGGGTGCGTGTCCGCTCGCCGGCCAGCGCCTGCGACAGCGAAACAGCGCCGCCACTCGAGAACAGTTGGATCTCCTGTTGATGTGAAACACAACACCAAGGACCGGGGGGCAAGCAAGGATGGTTGGCGGATGGGTGGTGAGATGTGGCGAGGTGCAGGGATGGCAGGGGCTGTAAGTGGTGTGCTGTGCTGCATGTGTGGACGACACCAGACAGCAACAAAGGCAGCGATAAACAATAACTTCACCAGCAGCCAGCAGAAGCAACAACAAACCCAAAGGAGAACTCACGCCGTCGAGCCCGACCACGCCGTCCTCCATGCTCTTCTTTGCCTCCTCCACCGTCAGGAACTTGATTCCGCCATCACCATCACCATCGACGTCGGCGTCACTGTCGCTGCCGTCCAGGGCAAGCTCCTCATCGATGGTCTTGGGCGCCATAGCAGACCCGTCCACAACATCGTGCGTCTCCTCCACAGTGCGCTGCTTCAGTTCGCTCAGCAGCTGCTGCCGCGGGTCGTCGTAGTCCACGCCAGGCTGCGCTTTGTGCCGCTCCTTGTTCTGGTCAGGACCCTGTGGTGACGGTGTGATGATGACGGTGACGACGGTGTGATGATGATGGTGATGATGATGGTGATGACGATGATGATCAATGTGCATGTTGGTTTCAGTTTCGGTCGATTCACCACAAGGTGAGCAAGAGAGCACCTCACGCCGTCGCACCATGCCGTGCTTCTTACTTCTGGCATCTCGATGTAGGTTGCGTCCCTGTCAAAGAGGATGCCGCCGACATCAGACATTGGCGCATACACGACCCGGTCGCGGTCGTCCAGCCGCCGCTTCCTGCTCTTCGTCATCTCCTCCTTGCTGCTCGGCGCCGGGCACGGGTCCTTCAGCAGCGTCACGTTGTCCAGCGTGAAGTCGCCCCCGCCAGGCATGTGCACCCGCTGGCCTGCAGTCGTGTCCATTCGCACAGCAGAGGTGGTGGGCATGAACATGCAATCAATTGTGTGCATGTGTCATCGTGTGCATGTGCCATCGCGTGAGCGTGTGAGCGTGTGAGCGCGTGCGATGGTGTGTGTGTGTGTGTGTGTGTGTGTGTGTGTGTGTGTGTGTGTGTGTGTGTGTGTGTGTGTGTGTGTGTGTGTGTGTGTGTGTGTGTGTGTGTGTGTTCACACGTGCGTGGCGTTCACACGTTTGTGCACGTGGGCGGGAGGAATCAACACGAATTTGGTTGAAATGGCAGCAGGACGTTGTTCATGAACAGTGGCGTGTTCAACAATCACTGCTGCCCACCGCTTCGGATGTATGTGCCGCGCACGTATCCGTAGATGCTGATGCTGCGGTCCATCTTGGGGTTCACGCGCACGTCCTCGGGGTCTGTGATGTCCTCGAGTCTGACGTGCAATGGACGGGCATACGTGGCGGCAGAGGTCAGCACAGTGGGAGGTGCAGCGCTGAACACACACGAACACACATCCACACACAAGCGCGCACACACACACACATACACCCATACACAAGCACGCACGCGCACACACATACACACACACACACACACACAAGCACGAACGAACGAACGACACAAGCAAACAGACAGACCAACCAAACGCACCTGTCCGCGAGGATGTAGGGGTGGTTGTTGCGCCAGCGCTGGACCTTCGGTTTGAGAACAGAGAGGAAGCGGGCCATGTTAACTGTCTCGCGCTGCGGATACATATCCTTGGAGATGCCGGAGAAGTAGAAGAGGTTGGAGCGAGCCGAGATCTCCGACTGGAAGCGCGCCTTGAGCTCCTTCTTGCGCCGCCGTATCTGCTTCTGCGTGCGCAGGCGGTCAAGCTGCGTCAGCACGCCCATGACGCGTGGCATGCCGTGTGCCTGGTACAAGATTGGGGGTGATGGTGGTGGTGGTGGTGGTGTTATGGGGTTGGTAAGGAATTTGATGATGGTTGATGAGCGATGGTATTGCAATACAACAACACGCGTGTATGTGCGCGTGTTTGGATGCTGCATGCTGGTGTTCGTGACGGACCAAAACATGGCATCAGATGAGCTCACCATGAGCATGTTGAGGAACTCGAACGTTTCCATCTCAAACCCAAAGCTGCCGTCGACCATCAACAGCGCCTGCACATACACACGAGCATATGCGTGCACGCATGCACAAACGCGCATTTGACCGTGCATGAGTGTGACAATCTATGCACGTGCAACTGCAAGGTGTGCGAAAACCAGACGATGGGAAGCACAGGGCAGGCGACGAGCATGTGCGAGTGTCGTGTGTGAGTGTTGTGTGTGAGTGTCACGTGCTATCTTGCGTGCCAATTGGCACGTGCTCGTACCACATCGCAGATCTTGGCGAGGTCAAGCATGGCGTTCATGTCGTTCTTGCATTCGATGAACGTGTACCGCCGATTCTTGCCTTCATGTGTGTGTGTTTGTGAGTGTGTGTGTGTGTGTTTGCATGTGTACGTGTATGTGTGTTTGTGTGTACATGTATGTGTGTTTGTGTGAGCATGTGTGTGTGTGTGTGTTCATGTGCATGGACAATGCAGCAGGACCAGACATGGGTTGCACACGAGTGAACACCTGCAACGATGGTGATGGGCCCCTTGATCTCGTTGAGAGTTTGTTTCGTGAACCGCTTCACCAGTGACCTGTGATGCCGGCGCATGTGTTGTGAGATGAGAAGGAGCTGGACGGAGTGAGGGGTGCTAGCCAACCAGGTGGCCAGCAGCAAACGGAGTGCCCTGTCACAGTGCGATGGTGTAAGAACACATCGAAGGTGCTGTTCTCGAACACGCACCGAATGAGGGTGGTTTTCCCCACTTGCGGCGGGCCGACGACGGCAATGACGAGTGGCGGGGGCTGATCCGCTGTGCGATTGGCGATTGGAGCATGGTGTTTGCGTGTTTCCCTGGTCCATGTGTATGTGTGTGCGTGTGTGTGTGTGTGTGAGTGAGTGAGTGAGTGTGTGTGTGTGTGTGTGTGTGTGTACGTGTGTGCGTGCGTGCGTGTGTGCGCGTGTGTGTGTATGTGTGAGCGTGAGTGTGTGAGTATTTGCGCGTATTCCGCGTGAGATGAGGACTACAAGGAGATCGCAAACAGCACGACTTGTGATGTGGCAACACAAGCAGTGGTACAAACACACACACAAACACACATACATCACACGCACGCACACACTTATACAAACACACAAACACACGCACGCGTACATCACACGCACAAACATCACACACACACACAAACACGCACGCAGCACACAAACATCACACGTACTTGTCCAGGGCGTGCATGACACGGCGACGGATCTTGTTGACCTTCTGGATGGAGAAGGCACGAGGGTCGGAGCTCTGGCCACTCTTGCCTTTTGCGGAGGCGACCTTCTGCAGCTTCTGCGCCTTCTTCTTGGCCTTGGCGCCCGACTTGGGCGCATTGTGCTGCTTGTGCACATGCTCCTCCTCCATGGTGACTCACGCAGAAGGGGGGGGGGAAGAGAGGGGAGACGGGGGAGACGGGGGAGACGAAGAAACAGGCAACAAGCAGGCCAACGGTGTCCGCCTGGACCACAACAAGCCAGTCGGTCGGAGCAGACGATGCCAAAAGCACACAGAAGATGGAACACGTTGCTGTCTGCTGTCTGCTGTTGTTTGCGCAGCTCTGTTTGCGCAGCACGTGTGTTGTGGATTTCGTGGTGTCGCGGACGGTGATTTCGGCGACTGATCAACATTGTGGAAAGTTCTAGAAAGCTTTGCGCCAAATTTCGTGGCAGCTTTCGCGCAATTGCAACACGACC